AGGGCTTCTCCCTTAAGTCTGTGCTCTCACAGGAAGGAAGCCAGCATGCTGGGTGAAAGGCCGCCTGGGCTTTTGGAGACTCTCTTGACCACATTCTTCTTTTAAAATTCGGACTCTCCGAGGTTTCCTGTCAAAGACTTAATTTTCAGTGAAGTGAGGTTTATACATAAAACATGAATGAGTGTTTGAGACATTTATACTAAGGTTGGGAAGAATTAATTTGAATGATATTTGGCATAAATCTGCTGTTACGGAGGCAGCAAAAGATGGTGCAAAAAGAAAGGAGGGTTTCGTCTGATTGCCTCTGAAATTCCATCTGTTTACCTCAGCATTTAAAGAATTATCTGATCCTTAGTTCGTTCTTTATCATATTTTCAAGGTTTTTATTTGCCCCTGCAGTTAAGAACTTGTGATTTGTTGTGGGATATTGAGACACACAGAAAATACTTTGGTTACATACTTGTGTCCCTGAAAGAATCATGATTTTATGATTTTTGTAAAAATGACATAGGTTTTCTTTAATTTAAAAAGAATAAGAGGAAATAAAAATCATTCAGAATACTCTACCCAGAAATAGCCATCATGAATATTTGCCAGACATCACTCTAAACATTTACATATTTCTGTAGTAAGAGAATGAGTGGAATTAAAAAAATATAAAATAAAATGTGTCATATGTTATAGGAAATTTGATTTTATTTGACTTAACAGAAGAATAAAACTGAAGTGAAACTAAAATAATTGGTGAACTTGATACTTTCTCAAAATAAGAGATTATCAGATTTTTCTAAAGTTAAGAAAAAGGATTATGAAAAACTTTGAAATTGTAGTCATTTTACAAGTATATATTTTAACTTTTGATAGTATTTTATGACCCCTTATTGTGAAAAGTGAAGTAATTAACACTTTGAAAATTTCTCCCTCAACATTTTTTATTTATTTATTTTTTTTTGGAGGCAGAGTCCTGCTCTGTTGCCCAGGCTGGAGTGCAACGGCACAATCTTGGCTCACTGCAACCTCCACCTCCCAGGTTCAAGCAATTACCCTGCCTCAGCCTCCTGAGTAGCTGGGACTACAGGTAACTGCAACCATGCCTGGCTAATTTTTGTATTTTTAGTAGACACAGGGTTTCAGCATGTTGGCAAGGCTGGTTTCAAACTCCTGACCTCTGGTGATCTGCCCACCTCAGCCTCCCAAAGTTCTGGGATTATAGATGTGAGCCACCGTGCCTGGCCTCAACTTTCATATTTGGTTCTGTACCCATACTACCAAGATTGCTTAAGCTAATTCTGTATCTAACAGAATACCAACTCAACCTAGCCTCCTAATCCTGGCTTCTTTCCTCTTCCTTTTCACTTTCCTCCGGTTGGATGAATTTCATTGCCAACTTACATCTTGACTACATGCTGGGGAATGTAGGTTCAGATATCTAAGAGAGAAATTCACATTTAAAGTCACACGGGGACTCTGATATCACCTCCTCTCTGTTCTTGACTTGGGTCTCAGATAGGCCAGAGATTTTTACCAGTTGAACCACACTGTGGCTCCTAACCAGCACTTAGACATTTGACAAACTGCAGAACTCCTGGTCACTTCCTCCTCACCTTCCTGTGCCTATTTCTCCCCAAGCCCATCTGTGAAAGCTCCTTAAACCAATTACCCTTTTCACATTTTTTTTTTTCTGAGATGCGGTCTCACTGTCACCCAAGCTGGAGTGCAGCAGTGCAATCTCAGCTCACTGCAACCTCTGCCTCCCAGGTTCAAGTAATTCTCGTTCCTCAGTTTCCTGAGTAGCCAGGATTACAGGTGGACACTACCACGCCCAGCCAATTTTTGTATTTTTTTTTTTTTTGAGACAGAGTCTCACTCTGTCACCAGGACCAGGCTGGAGTGCAGTGGCACAATCTCAGCTCACTACATCCTCCACCTCCCGGGTTCAAGCAATTCTCCTGCCTCAGCCTCCCAAGTAGCTGGGACTACAGGCACATGCCACCACACCCAGCTAATTTTTGTATTTTTAGTAGAGACAGAGTTTTGCCATGTTGTCCAGGCTGGTCTGGAACTCCTTACCTCAGGTGATCCAGCCACCTCAGCCTCCCAAAGTGCTGTGATTACAGGTGTGAGCCATCGTGCCTGTCCCCTTTTCACATTGAAAGTTACAGTCACAGTTTTATGTTACCAGCTCCTCCCCACTGGCTTTAAGGCAGGTCATACGTAGCTTGTTGAGGTTATTTCCAAAGGTGCTTGAGTTTAAGAACCTATTATATCTTACAATTGGAACCCAGCGTGGGGCATGAGTGACTTTTTTTCTTATTAGCTTGTAAGGGCTTTTTCCAGTCACAATTTTGACTGTCAAAAATCTGACAGGGCGCGCTGGCTCACACCTGTCATCCCAGCACTTTGGGAGGCCGAGGCTGGCAGATCACCTGAGGTCAGGAGTTCGAGAGCAGCCTGGCCAGCATGGTGAAACCCCATCTCTACTAAAAATATAAAAATGAGCCAGGCGTGGTAGTGGGCACTTGTAATCTCAGCTACTCGGGAGGGTGAGGCAGGAGAATTGCTTGAACCAGAGAGACAGAGGTTGCAGCCTGGGTGACAGAGTGAGACTCTGTCTCAAAATTAAAAAAAAATCAAGGTAGTAGAAGAGGAAGATAAAAAATGAGTACGAAAAAAAGTTGAAGTCAGAATTGGATATCACTTGACTCTAAATTTTATGGTTCTCTATGAAACTGTAATTCGTATATCCCAAAATCTCTTTCTTTTTTCTTTTTTTTGAGATGGAGTCTTACTCTGTCACCCATGCTGGAATGTGGTGGTGCGATCTCAGATCATGCTGCCTCAACCTCCTGGGCAGCACAAGTGATCCTCCCACCTCAGCCTCCTGAGTAGCTGGGGCCACAGGTGTGTGCCACAGCGCCTGGCTAATTTTTTATTTTATGTAAAGATGGCATCTCCCTACATTGCCCAGGTTGGTTTTTGAACTCCTGGGCTCCAGTGAGCCACCCGCCTTTGCCTCCAAAAGTGCTGGCTGGGATTACAGGCATGAGCCACTGCCCCCAGCCCCAAATTTTCTTAGTCCCAATTTTAATTACTCTATGTTCATTAGGATAATAAGTTTTTAAAATGTGGTCTTTTTATGTGCCAGTGAGGGAATCAAGTGAGGAGTTGTCATCCAAGGATCACTTGTCCTTTGTCACAATGTTGAAGTCCTACAGTCAATCTTGACTGGAAATTCTTCTGAGGCTCCATGAAATCTTTTCCTGCACATGAATGTCCCTGCAGCACTCTCCTGATTTACTCACCTGCTGCCCCGAGTTCTTCTTTACTAACCCTCAACAACATCTGCTCTTCTGGAGCAGATTCCTTGAACCTAAAATGATCGGGAGAACTCGATGTAGTCTAAGCAGAAAGGCTGAAATTTACATTAATTTTTTTCAATAAGAAAAATAAGGAATCTCTCTCCTGGGGAGGGATTATAAAGTAAGATCTTTCACAGGCCTTCAGTTTCCCAGTCCCTACTGATAATTAAGCTAATTTTAGGTGGATATGATGGTTATCTAGAAAAGTAGAAATGATATAGAGTTTCATTTTAAGGTAAGTAAAAAGTGAACCAGTAATCCCAGCACTTTGGGAGGCTGGGGTGGATGAATAAGATCAGGAGATCAACACCATCTTGGCCAACATGGTGAAACCCTGTCTCTACTAAAAATACAAAAATTAGCTGAGCATGGTGGCACATGCCTGTAGTCCCAGGTACTCAGGAGGCTGAGACAAGAGAATCACTTGAACCTGGGAGGCAGAGTTTGCAGGGAGCCAAGATCACACCACTGCACTACAGCTTGGGACAGAGTGAGACTTAAAAAAAAAATGCATAGTAAAACATAGTATATGGATAATATGCAGGTATGGGAAAGAATTATGAGAATGATATACAAATGACTAAAGTTTTAGAAACATGAGAATTGTGGAAATCAGAAATACATAGATATGACTAAAATTGCACAGATGTACAATAGGAGAACCAGGAAATAGGCAAATTAAAAACCTTAAACCTATTTAAATTATGCTTATTACAAACTTGGATTTTTCCCCGTTAAAATCTGTAGTCTGTTACAATAGTGCACATCTGTAGTCCCAGCTACTTGGGATGCTATGGTGGGAGGATCACTCGAGCTCAGGAGTTAGCGGCCAGCCTGAGCAACACAGTGAGACCCTGTCTTTAAAAAAAATCTGCAATGCGTTGGTTCTAAGTCTGTTATCCACCATTACATACATGAGAAGCTTCATATGCACCATGCATTCTCATGGAAATACATGATTCCTGTGCTTCTCTGTAACTCCACCTCTTTCTCTACCACCCCAGAGGATACTTAGGAAGTCAAGCAAATGAAAAATGTTATAATAGGAAACATTATTCCAGCTGAGCACAGTGGCTCAACGCTGTAATCTCAGCACTTTGGGAGGCCAAGGCAGGTGGATCACTTGAGGTCAGCAGTTTGAGATCAGACTGGCCAACGTAGGGAAACCCTGTCTCTACTAAAAATACGAAAATAACCTGGGCGTGGTGGCACATGCCTGTAATCCCAGCTATTCAGGAAGCTGAGGCAGGAGAATCATTTGAACCCAGGAGGCAGAGGTTGCAGTGAGCCAAGATCGTGCCACTGCTCTCCAGCCTGGGCAACTGAGACTGTCTCAAAAAAAAAAAAAAAAAAAAGACGACAACACGCATTATTACTACATGAATTCATTTTTGCAGTGTGTAAACTATTTACAAATAGATACTTTAACTCTTACTAACAGTTTCAGCACACCCCATGACTGATCGCCACCTGATTGCACTTGTCACAGCATAAGCATGCCTGAGAAAGAGTGGTCTTACAAACTAGTTTGGGTCTAAGATGTCGTGTGTGCAGACCCCTGTTGGGGAATTTGCACTGTAGGGACTGCTTTCCTTCTTGCCTCTGACCTGATAATGTCCTCTTTTCTCTTTACGCATACAGACTGTTGGGCGGGAACTGCTGCTCCATCTGATCGACCATCTCGGAACCAGTGATGGCAAAGACCCTGAAATCACAAATCTGATCAATAGTACCCGGATACACATCATGCCTTCCATGAACCCAGATGGATTTGAAGCCGTCAGAAAGCCCGACTGTTATTACAGCATCGGAAGGTAAAGAGGGGCGGGCCTATCTTTATTTCAAAACGAAAAAACACAACACAAAAGCTCCCGCCAGGCACCTGTTGGCCTTGGCAAGAGGAGTGTGTCCTGGTGACAGCCTTCAGAGCCGGTGTCCTGTTGCTGACGTTCCAAAGCTCAAGGCTCCTCAGGGCTGTGTCCGGCTTTCAGGATGAAATGCGACTCAGGCTCCTTTGCACAGGTGCCCACCTAGCCTCTCCATCTTCACCTGCCACTCCCTCGCCCTCCCCTATGTCTGCCCCTCTGTCCCTCCTTCCTGTCCTGGAACTACCAGTGCTTTCTCACCTCAGTGTTTTACACACACCATTTCCTCCCACTGCCTAAATAGCATTTCCTCCAAGACTCTCTCTCCCCGACCTGTCATGCTCTAGATGCCCTGGTAAACTCTCAGACCACCTGGCACTTTACTTTCAGAGCACAACTTTTAATATCTAATTTCTTGCTTCCTGTCTCTCTCCCCACTATGCTGCAGGCTACCTGAAGGTAGGAATCCTGTCCATTATGTTCATTGGTGTTAGATTCCCAATGCCTGGCAGAATACCGAGGCCCTTGGTAATGACTGGCTGATTTATTAAGCCAATAGTCCAAGAACTAACCATAACCAAGACCAGATCTTGAAGGAGCTCTGATTTTAACAGTTTAGTTTGTTTGAATTCCAAACCTTGGGAGGTTTGGAATTTCTCAGATGTTTAATATACATTTATATTTATGCAATTTATAAATGTGCGTACTTTACCAAAGCTGAACAAAATCTCACCACTTTATTCCCTCCAATTTTAAGTTTTTCTAGCATATCTAAACACGGCCATTCCACTTTTCACAAATGCATGTGTGTAAAGTATGTGTTTACTGTTTCTGTTATCAGTTGCTACATAACGAACCACCCCAAAATTAGTGACTTGAAGCAACAGCCTTTTTATTTACTATTGATTCTGTAAGTCAGGCATTTGTGCAGAGCAGAGCAGGGATGGCTACTCTCTGTGCCACAGGTCTAGGGCTCAGCTCTGGTCTTTCTGAGGCAATTGACCTGGAGCCATGTGTTTAGAGTCTCAGCTCTGGCTGTCACCTGGGCTCCTCATTTCTCCACATGGACTGTCCACGAGGCTGCCATAGGGGTCTCAGAGTCCTAAAAGGGAGAATCTAAGAGCAGAAGTCCCAAAGTACAAACACGTATAAAACCTTTGCCTGCATCACAATAGCTAGTGTCTCATTAGCGAAAGCACATCATGAGGGAGGGGATGCCATGGGGTGTGAGTGCCAAGTGTGGGTCATGGCACGACACCAGGACAGCCATCGCCACACCCACACTCACATTTGGAAAGACACCTGGAGCCTAAAGCATAGGGCCAGACGCTGTAAGAATCCACTCCCTCCTGCCCTATCAATAAGCCCTCAAATATTCTTTCTTTTAAAGGGAAAATTACAACCAGTATGACTTGAATCGAAATTTCCCCGATGCTTTTGAATATAATAATGTCTCAAGGCAGCCTGAAACTCTGGCAGTCATGAAGTGGCTGAACACGGAGACGTTTGTCCTCTCTGCAAACCTCCACGGTGGTGCCCTTGTGGCCAGTTACCCATTTGATAATGGTGTTCAAGGTAAGCAGGTGGGGGCCCGGTTCTGGCTTCCTAAGTCCAGAGTGGGACTGAAAACTCTCTATCTCTGCATGAGGATGAACTCTCCCTTCCCCACTCGACTTCTCTGACGGGGTGAAAAGAGCTTCCTGTTCCCAACCCTAGCCATCCTTCTTGTGATTCTTCAATAGCAGATGGGCAGTGTGGCTGAACTGACAACCCACAGTGGACATGCATCAGTGAAATAGTGAAATGTAGATTCCAGAAAATAGGATCTAAACAGTCAGATGGATTCTCTGACAAGCGACAACATGGCTAAAATAACATAAAACTGGAACAACTCATGCTTTTTTGCTAATCATGTGAACAGTAATTGTTGACTCTTCTTAAAACTCTGTATTATGAGGACCCAAAATATTATAATAACTTTATTTCATTCCTCTGATATCTAAGGAAACTGTCCTTACCTCCAGAAATTAGCAAGAGTGACTGAGAGAACATTGAATTTTTTTTTTTTTTTTTTTTTTTTTTGAGACGGAGTTTCGCTCTTGTTACCCAGGCTGGAGTGCAATGGCGCGATCTCGGCTCACCGCAACCTCCGCCTCCTGGGTTCAGGCAATTCTCCTGCCTCAGCCTCCTAAGTAACTGGGATTACAGGCACGCACCACCATGCCCAGCTATTTTTTTTTTGTATTTTTAGTAGAGACGGGGTTTCACCATGTTGACCAAGATGGTCTCGATCTCTTGACCTTGTGATCCACCCGCCTCGGCCTCCCAAAGTGCTGGGATTACAGGCTTGAGCCACTGCGCCCGGCCGAGAACATTGAATTTTTAAGTTGATTTAGGAGTTTGGAGTTGTATCTGACTTACTTGGGGGCTATCTTGCATATGTTTATTATAAAGTAGAAAGAAGAATAGAGGAAGCATTCATGGAGGTGGATGGAGGATTTCTCTCTAGGGAAATTGGAGCATCTGTGTGTCATGTGATTATGTATTTGCTAATGTGGTGTTTGTGTTTCCTCTTACTCTAAAGTCGTTTAAAGGTCTTGGCTCATCTTTTAAATGCAGCAACTGGGGCATTATACTCCCGAAGCTTAACTCCTGATGATGATGTTTTTCAATATCTTGCACATACCTATGCTTCAAGAAATCCCAACATGAAGAAAGGAGACGAGTGTAAAAGCAAAGTGAACTTTCCGAATGGTGTTACAAATGGCTACTCTTGGTATCCACTCCAAGGTGGGTTTCTCTTCATTTCTCTCATTTCTTCAATTTTTTTTTTTTTTTTTTTGAGATGGAGTCTCGCTCTGTCGCCCATTCACCCTTTGCCTTCACCCAGAAGTGCCCGCTGGTTTATTTTGATCCAGCAGTGGTTAAAACAACTTTAGGTACATATAAAACTCCCACTATTATTTATATAATAGTGGACTAATCAACTTAAAATAGTTTTACTATCAGAATAAAATAAAATGGAAATAATTTACTCATAAGATTCATATTTAAATCATCTTTCTTCACAAAATACTGTCCTGAGATTTATAATTCCATTAACCTACAATTTTAGCAAAAGTATAAGTAAAGTAAGTATAAGTAAAATTATACAGTAACAGCAGTTACTTTAAACTGAAAATGAGATCAGTCAAAATGTTTGTTGAAGAGAGCAAAAATCTTGTCAGGTTTCTTGCTGTGGTTCTGGATGTTCAGTAGCAGGCTCATTTGAAGGTAGAATCAACCCTGAAGGAACTCACTTCTACTTTTAAAATGTCGAGGTGGGAGTTAAAATCCAGGTCTTGGGGGAAGGTAAGGAGGAAAACCCCTTGGTGGATACACATTTCTCACTGTTCAAAGAGATTGGTCAAAGACATTTTACAACTTTGAGAACCTGTATTGTGCCCTAATAAATCATTAAGTTTATAACTTCCATTATCTATTGTTTACTTGAAAATTGACACCAGAATAATTACTTGATCTAAGAAATTAACTTTTATAACACTGAGAAAAATGTACTTCTTCAAATATAGAAGATTAAAGGAAATACCATTAATTTTTAATGTAATTTTTCTCCTATCTTAATACCTGTTTTTTAAAAAAGATAAAGTATTTAAAAATATGTAAAACTTGCTGTAAAAATATTTTTTCTTTCATTGTCAAAGTTCTTCTCCAAAAACATTTTCTTGTAATATAATTTTCACCAAACTTAAAATTCACATCAGTGATTCCCAATTCTGATTTGATATTACACTAAAGCATTTCCAGTTATATCAAAAACCACCTTAAAATTCTCCCAAACAAAATTCATTTTAATTCACTTTAAACTTTAAAAAGAGAGGAGAAACAAGGGAAGGAATGACCAGATGAGACATTCATAGGCAAAGCCTGGTATTTGGTAACCACATATTTATTCTGAACCCTATAGTTCAAAATGGCAAAGTAGGACTAGAAAAGCAATATATTATTCCCTTTTCTTATGTGAAGCTTTAAAAGAATTCAATAAATTCAACAATTAGGTCAAACATAATAAATACATTTTAAGTTTTAAATACATAAGATGACATCAGAACTACTTATGAAAAAGACTAAAAAATACCTTAGTCAGTAATTTTAATGCTAGAATATGAATTTTAATTATTTTAACTAACGACCAGAATAACCAGTTGCTACCAATAAGATACAGATAATTTTAGTTTTATAAGACGTGCAAAAAGTCAATTATTTTTTGACTACCGAAATACGGAAATAATTCTATAGTACTAAGATAAATCCATTTGAAACCTCATTACAGTTCACTTAAGGCTGGCTGCCTTCCCACTTTGGAAAAGTAATGGTACACTCACAGAATGCTAGAAAAATTTTTCCTTCACTGTGTTACTACATGAACAGATAGTAAAATTAATATCTCTGATTAATAAAACATGTATTTAGCTTTAAAAAAATGTTTAAAAACAAGCATACTTGCAAATGGAGCATATGGTGGACCTGGGAAATCCCTTGGTGGAAAATCATCTCCAGAAGCTCCCTTTTCCCACAAAGGTGACAGGGGCCGAGTGTCAGAAGGACCCCTGTGAGAATCGGTTAATGTATCAGAGCTTGATTCTCCTCCTTCATTGGTAATCTGATGGTCCAGAGGATTCCCTGGACCTCTTGAGCCTCTTCCTCCTCTCCTTAGAAGCAAAGGTGAGAGTGAGTGGACCCTCCAATGAAGTTGAAGGAGACAGAAAAGCTCTCATTTCAGATAAAGGCTGAGCCAGTGGTGAGGGGCCATATGGGGAATGCTCTCTGACAAGCAGCATATTTGGAACATCCATTGCATATGGATCTTTTTCTAAAAGTTCACATTTAAACTGTTTCAGTTAATTTTTGTCTGTTGCAAGCATTTTCTTTCCTTAAATTTTTGAGATTTCTTTCAGCAGTTCGAGCTGAGAACCAATTATCCTGTGCTTTGTTCTCACAGGAAATAGTGCGCCCTTGATAATAATGCATCGTTTTCTCCAATTCTTCTTTAAGATCTTTGGCTCGCTTTCTGTAGGTCTCCAGCTTTGCAGTGACATGGCTGATCCTTTTGTCTACTTTAGAAAGTTTCTCTTCTGTCTCTACTTGGTAATTTTCCTCTGTTGTTAATTTCCTGTAGAGTTTCATTTTCTTGATATAGTTCAGTCATTACTTTAAGTTTCTGTTGAAGTTTCTGATTCTCACCTTCAAAATGTGTGTTTTCTAACTGCAAAGATACTTGTTCAGTCTCAAGATTTTTAATACATTCTGTAAGCTCTTCCTTCATTTTATCAACTTCAGATGACTGAATATAAATTTGATTTATTTCTCCTTCTAAGCTTTTTAAAGAAGCATTGAACTTAGCAGCATGAATCAGTTTCTTCAAAGCTCCTATTGGAGGATGATCTAAGTAAGCACCGTTTTCCGATTCACTTTATTTCTAACTCCCAAGTTATCACCATCCGTTCTGTCTTCTCCAAGCATAGCAGCCCAATCTTTCATCTTTAGCAACCATTCAGTCAGAGTCTTGATGTGATTGTCTTTATCATTGAGAACTTGTTCTGTGTATGCTTTGGAGTCTTCCAATGTTACTTTCTGTTTATTAAGTTCACTCACTTGTTCTTTCCATACTTCAGCTTCTTACAAAAGTTGTTTCTGGCTTTCCTGAAGTTGAAAATTTTCATCCAAAGCATCTTTCATTGCTATCTTCAGTGGTTCTTCATTCATTTGAAATAAAGTCGTGACGATCATTTTGGCTTCAGCTACTTGTGATTTGAGGGATTTTGACTCATCTTCTAGAGCCTATCTCCTTTTTGAAATATCTGCCATCAGTTCATTTTGTTCAGACTGTTTCCATTTCTCTTCTTTTAACTCTTTTACTAGACATAGTATTTCTTCCTCAAGTTCCATATTGGACCTGTTCAGCTTTTCACAGGTTGCCTCCAAACTTTGTGCTTATGTTGCTTCCTTCTCAAAGCTGGGATCCTGTAAAGATGACTTGACTTCAGTCTTCATACTTTTTTTCAGTAACGCTACATTTTTCTAGTAGTGTACATTTTTCTTCAATTAGTCTAGAATGCATTTCAGCAAGCATTTTCTCTCTTCCCACATAAAGCTCATTACTAACAGATCTAAAACTTTTCCACACAAAAAAAGGGAACAGCAAAAATCCAAAAATAGCTGCCCATATCACCCATTCCCATGGGAAACCATAAGAATTAGAATCTGCTCCCATACTTTGACGCAGTACTGCCGCAACCCTACGTAGCACCTCCAGAACCAGCCTCAAGTAAGGCTGAGGGGCAGCCCAGGGCTCAACCGTAGTGCCAAGTCTGCTCTCAGGGTTGCCATAGTAACCCAGGGCTGTGAGGGCCACAACAAAGGGCAGAGATCATATAGCATTCTGTCTGGAACCTGGATCCACAGGTGGCAACTGGAGTGGACCACAGCAGAGCCGGCTGCAGGGGGAGCTGGGGGATGTTGGGGGAGCTGCGGGACGTGGGTACCCACAGGCCTCACAGGTCCATGCTGCCTTTTTCTTTTTTCTTTTTACTTTTAGAGATGGCATCTTGTCATGTTGTCCAGACTGGCCCTGAACTCCTAGTCTCCAGCAGGCCTCCCCTCTTGACCTCCCAAAGTGCTGAGATTACAGGCATGAGCCACAGTACCTGGCCTAAAATTTTTTTCTACTTCAGTACCTCCAAAATATCCTGCTGAAACTGAGAATCCATATTTTCTTTGGCAGGTATCAAGTGTAACAAATTAAAATTTGTTCAGAAACTACTTTCTTAATAGTTACTGTATTTCATCAAATCCAAGATACTGTTTATTATAAAACCTGTTGTACTACCAAGAAAATATTTTCAGTTAAAGACATGATGTTTTTAGCCATAAAAGTTTTTAAGACACATCCCAATTCAGAGATATGAAAATATAAAAAATATTGCATCTTAGGCCAGGAGCAGCAGCTCATGCTTGTAATCCTTGTGCTTTGGGAGGCCAAGGTGTGCAGATTGCCTGAGCTCAGGAGTTTGAGACCACTCTGGGCAACATGGTGAAACCCCGTCTCTACCAAAATAAAAAAAGTGAGCCAGGTGCGGTGGTGCACACCTGTAGTCCCAGCTACTCGGAAGGCTGAGGTACAAGAATTGCTTGAACCCAGGAGGCAGAGGTTAAAGTGAGCAGAGATCGCGCCACTGTGCTCCAGCCTGTTCCACAGAGCAAAACTCCATCTCAAAAGTAATAGTAATAATAATGTTGCATCTTAGTCTGCAGTAAAATGAAAGCCAGGGACAGTGGCTCATGCCTATAATTCCAGGACTTTGAGAGGCCAAGGCAGAAGGATCACTTAAAGCCTGGAGTTTGAGACCAGCCTGGGCAACATAGTGGGACTCCATCTCCATACACAAATTTTTTAAGTACCAGTCTCAGCAACATGGCAAACCCCATCTCTACCAAAAAATACAAAAATTAGCCAGGTTGGTGGTGCACATCTGTAGTCCCAACTACTTGGGAGGCTCAGGCAGGAAGATCGCATGAGCTCAGGAGGTCAAGATTGCAGTGATCTGTGTTTGTGCCACTGCACTCCAGCCTGGGCAACAGAGCAAGACACTGTCTCAAAACAAAAAAAATTAGCCGGGTGTGGTGGTGCACATCTGTAGTCTCAGCTACCTGAGAGACTGAGGTAGGAGGAGCACTTTAGCCCGGAAGTTTGAAACTACAGTGAGCTGCGATTGCACCACTGCATTCCAGCCTGGGTGATGCCGCGAGACCATGTCTCTGTTAAAAAAAAAAAAAGAAAGAAAGAAAGTATGAAATGATTATAACCTTTTGAAAATAGGGGACCAGAGGAGACAACTGGAAAGTCAGCATGAGCGGTGGCAGCCTAGACTACAGGAGGCTGGGCCTTCCACCTCTGAGAGGCGGCCTAACACACTGTCTTTGATCTGCAGGAGCTCTCTGGCATATTGGGGAAGCCCACGGGGGCAGGCGGAAGGTGGCTTGCACTCCAGTGTCTGCCATTCACTGGCCAACACCCCTGGGGACTTTTCTTAACATCTGTGATCATGTTTCCTTATCTGTAAAGAAGGGGCAGTTGCTTAACGAGCTGCTACAAAGCACTTCGTAATGGTACCTAGCAATAGTGAACACTCAGTAAATGTTGGCCATGCTTCTTCCACTTTAGGGTGCTTTGCTTTATGTAGTAAGGGTATTTATCAATGATTTCTAGAAATATTTTTAAAGGAATCTTGTTCCAGCTTATATCCATTTAAAAGGTAATTTAAGAAAGAAATATAATTCGAAGAATCCTTTTTGTAATGTAGGATTTCAAAAAATAAAAAAGAACCCTTCCTTCACCCCTCACTTAGTTTTGACGCACAGGTGCACTTCAGTCAGCTCTGACCCAGTTACCCACAGGGGAATATTTAGGATTGTCTGGTCATGCCTGGCTAATAAAATGTCAAGCCCTGATTTTACAAGCTAATATGTCAAATTCATCTTGTCCTGTTTACAGGTAGCCACCTGATTCACTTGTCCCCAAAGCACGTGATGTTTGGCCACACTTCAGTTTTAGACCCTAACAAAAATTCAATATGCTTGTGTTTAGGTGGAATGCAAGATTACAACTACATCTGGGCCCAGTGTTTTGAAATCACGTTGGAGCTGTCATGCTGTAAATATCCTCGTGAGGAGAAGCTGCCGTCCTTTTGGAATAATAACAAAGCCTCATTAATTGAATATATGAAACAGGTGCACCTAGGTTTGTACAGTTGTCTTATTAATTCCCTGTTAATACAAAATACAGCATCTGGCAAGACCTCCGAGCTGAGTCAGCGCAGGCCTTGATTTACGCTCTGTAGTTACAGCCTTATTTCAGTACCAGACCTGATGGTTAAGAATTCTCACTGCGTGAATACCTGCAGTGTGTGTGAAATGAAGTGCCCACTCATTCATAGAAAACAAAGCATAAGGCATGTTCTTTTAATATGAGGGTATAAAAATCCAGAGTACCAGCTGGACATGGTGGCGCACACCTGTAATCCCAGCACTTTGGGAGGCCAAGGCAGGTGGATCACCTGAGGTCAGGAGTTCGAGACCAGCCTGGCCAACAAGGGAAAACCTTGTCTCTACTTGAAATACTAAAGATAGAAAAATTAGCTGGGTGTGGTTGCATGCACCTGTAGTCCCAGCTACTTGGGAGGCTGAGACAGGAGAATTACTTGAACCCAGGATACGGAGGTTGCAGTGAGCCAAGATGGTGCCACCGCACTCCAGCCTGGGTGACAGAATGAGACTCTGTCTCAAAAACAAAGAAACCAAAATCCAGAGTCCCCCTAATTTTACATGTTAAATGTTCTAGAAATCTAGCAAAAGATCAGGAAAACAGGATGCTACTCTGTTATATGATTTCCCATTTAGAAAAACACTGTGTTTGCTTCTTACTCACCACACAGTACCAAGGACTCTGAGAACACTGGACATACCACTTTGCATTTTTTCCAGAACTGGGGTGGTGAGCTAACTCCATTGCCTTCAACTTCTTTCACCTGTGAACTCTGCCGGATGTCTTGGTGCTAGGAATCTTGCCAGCCTGTTTGCTGAAGGCTGGCTGGCCCTTATCACAGATGGATATACTAAATGTATCAGAGAATGATAGCTCTAAAATGTGCAGCAACTCACCAGGAGGACTTCTAAAACAGATTGCCAGGCCCCAACCCAGAGTTTCTGATTGAATGGGCCCTGAATTATTACCATCTTCCCACGTGAAGCTGATGCTGCTGGTTCAGGGACTATACTTAGAAAGCCATTGCACTAGAGAAACACACTACTTGAGATGATGATGGAATCTTGTGCAGTTCAAGTTTATTAACCAGGTGGTGTCTCTTTGGGCAAGGTGTGGATGACTCTTCTTTTTATTTGCAGAGTTAAAGTTATCTGCTTCCATTCAGAATGGCTTGGGGAGAGAAACATGTCAGAAATTGGCATAATAGCTATAATATCCCAGAGAGAGAGAGGGGCAGTGTTTGTGTGTTGAAAAGGGTTGCTGCATGGGCCTACTGTATAATTGCATAATTCCTGGACTGTTCTGCATTATTCAAACCAAAGCTTTCCTCCTGCTATGAAGAAGATGGAGAAGGATGAGGGAGGTAGCACAGGGCCAGAGGGCTGAGTGCAATTAGTACCCTCCCTTGGCCACACAACCGTAAAAGGGATGCCTCTACCCTCTTTCATGCCTGTATTCCCAGCCTCCATTCCCTGACCTGAAGAGAAGTACACAGAGATTACTGGTAAACTCTCAGGGTTGCTTAAGTGGCTGAGTCATTCATGGACTAGGTTGACTTCCCATGATAGGGGATGTTATGAAATCCATTCTTTCCAGCATCTCATCAGATTATAAACTTATTATTGGGACTTTCACCTTCCTTATTATGTCATCAACCTTTGTCTTGGGTTCTTTCTTGCTTAGTATTCTGGTATTTCTTTCTCCATTAGATTTTCCTTATGAGGCATGTCATGTATTAATCTAACCTATTATATTTCTACCTATCTTGATCCTTTAGTTTCTTAATCTATTACTATTATTATTATTGTCCTTATCATTATTTTAGGGACAGGGTCTCCCTCTGTCACTCAGGCTGGAGTACAGTGGCACAATCATCGCTCACTGTAACCTTGAACTCCTGGGCTCAAGTGATCTTTCTGCCTCAGCCTCCCAAGTAAGTAGGACTACAGGTGAACACCACCATGTCTAGCTAATTAAAAAAAAAAAAAAAAATCTTTGTATAGAGACAGAATCTTGCTATGCTGTCCAGTTGAATCTCAAACTTCTGGTCTCAAGCGATTCTTCTGCCTCAGCCTCCCAAAGTGCTGGGATCTCAGGTGTGAGCCACCATGACTGGCTCTGCCTCTTCTTTTCTGAAATTCATTCTTCACCAGTATCAACATGGTCATGGACATGCACATGCTCTATGTAACTGCACCACTATTTTCAGAACCTCAATCTGGCTGTACAGATTATTCACCAAGAACTGAATGAAGGTGGGCTTTGAAGTATCATGTTGATATAATATTGCCAGGGAAGGGGCTTTGTGAACTGATAACATACAAATTGCAGTATACCTGTAGTTATTATTTTTAATACTTTTGAAGGTTTACCAGTCCACCATTAGCACTAGGTTTGTTTGTTCGTTTCTGAGATGGAGTCTGGTTCTGTCACGGAGACCAGAGTGCAATGGTGCAATGATCTCGGCTCACCGCAACCTCCGTCTCCTGGGTTCATGTGATTCTCCCACCTCAGCCTCCCAAATAGCTGGGATTACAGGTGCCCACTATCATGCCTGGCTAATTTTTGTATTTTTGTATAGATAGAGTTTCACCATGTTGGCCAGGCTGGTCTTGAACTCCTAACCTCAGGTGATCCACCCACCTCCACCTCCCAAAGTGCTGGGATTACAGGCATTAGCCATGATGCCCAGCCCATTTGCACTAGGTTTTTTAAATAATGTTTATCTGCCTGTCCCTGTAATCAGATGGAAACAACTCACTCAAAAAATATATATTGCCACATTAACCCTGTCCCCTTGTGGTTTAAGACAGATGCATAACACAGTTTAACAATAAAACCATATTTCCAAACGCCAATACAGTGTGGTTATTATTACATAATAGAAAGGTTCTGTCACCACTAGTGCCCAATAAGAAGCTAATGAATGTTTCTGTTTGTGAAAGATAAGAGCAAACACCCTTTTATTGGTATTGCTCTGATTTAAGGATATTATTGATATTTGTCAAGCTGCATTGCATTCGCTGGTTCCATGTTACCAATCCCTAGGGTGCTTCTGAGTTTCTGAGGTTTTGACCCATCTGGAACATTCTGACCCACCTTGTCTGGGAAGGAAAGGTCTCCTGCTCTAGTGGAAGGGCATTGCCAAGAGGGCAGAGGCTTGGGTAAGGCAGTTGTGTCATCTGGCGATATTTGAAATCATGAGCAAGCACTTGTCTGAATCTCAGTTCAGTCAACAGAAAGTTGAGAGTAATAGCATTAGCCTTGCCTTGCACCAGCCTGTTCTAAGGCTTCAGCGGTGTTTTTCTTTCCATTAGAATTCACTGCAGACCGCAAGTGAAACTCGGGCCCCTTCGTGCCATGTTGTCCTGCTTAGAGGATGATTTATTAGGTTTGAATTGAGATGAGGATGTCACAGACTTTAAGGCCAGGGTAGCAAAGGAGGGCAAGTCTGAATTCTAGGGGCCTACATTGTCTTGCTTGTCCCTGTCTCTGAGGAGAAGCAAAAATGAGCAAGATATGGTGTTACCTGCTGCTGCCCTGTCTCTTCCCCTGGACTCCTCAAAGCAGATCTGAACCCAGAGAGCCAGGGAATGGCGCACAGCATCCAGAAACCTAAGCAACCTGGGCCTAAAAGAATCTGGTATGTGCCAAGTTCCAGAAGCCCATGGAACACAGATGTGGATCTGTCACCACATCCAACATAGGAGGCAGCTGTGACCATGCAGTGGGGACATGGGCACAAACAAGCCGTCTCCTAAGTACTGTCCCAGCTCCGACTCTCAGTCATGGCCAACAGATGCAGAATTCCAGTTCTTGCCCAGCCAAGAAAGACTTCGATTCATGAAGGCCTAATATGTATTCCGAGGGGAAAAGAGCTTTACATTTCTCCCGTGTATCTCCCCATCTGGACACGGAATTTTATTTCTTCTCATTTGTGTAGCATCTGAGCACTTTTAAAATTTTTGTTTTGTGTTTGTTTTTATATATAGTTAATAGTGTTGGCTCTCTCTGCATCTCTTGAGGTCTACCAGTCTTTTTTTCAGTGTTTCAACTTCAGCATATAGAAATAAATCACATTTTCTAGTAAAACAGTTTCTTCCCAGTTTTTCTATGAATACAAATTCTGTACCTAAGCATGGTCTGTGTTTGCCCAGTGACAGTGATATTCACATACCCCAGGCTTCCACAGCTGGAATAACTATCTTTAGGTTTAGGTAAGAATCATATGAAAGTGAGGCTTTGGCCCTATAATCCCAGAACTTTGGGATGCCAAAGTGGTCACATCACTTGAGATCAGGAGTTTGAGAACAGCCTGGCCAACATTACTTATCACTACTAAAAATACAAAAATTAGCTGGGTGTGGTGGTGGGCACCTGTAATCCCAGTTACTTAGGGGGCTGAAGCAGGGAAATCACTTGTACCCGGGAGGTAAAAGTTGTGGTGAGCCGAGATCGTGCCACTACACTGCAGGCTCTGTGACAGAGGGAGACTTCAATTCAGAAAAAAAAAAAAAAAAAAAAAAAAAAAAAAAAAAAAAAAAAAAAAAGGATGATGAATAAGGGTCAAACTGGAATATGAAGACTTGTTCAGACATTTCTTCAAATGCAAATTGTTCCTCCTTTTTCTATTTTTGAGGGTAGGCAGATCTCAGGTTAACTGGAGCCTCAGTTCAGAGGCAGCACACGCTGATACATATGCATTGTTGCAGTATCTAAGGCCATCTAAAATCACTGTCACGTGAGGCCGTCCAAAACCACTGTCAATAAAATCAAGTCTGGTCTATTAAAGTGTAAATAACTGCTTCTAGCCAAGAAGAAATTCGCTGCCTTTTTTTTTTAAAGGGTATCATGACTTTTTTTTGGTGTCTTCTGCCAACTACTCATCACTAGTACCCTGAATTCCATTTCATCATCATCCTCAATGTTAAAGGATGGTATAATGTCAGTTTCAATGATACTTCTGCTTTGCTTTTTATGCACTTCATTTACTTTGATTTGGTGGGTTTTGGGGAAGTCAATGAAAAATACAGAAGATGCCAATGGACACACCACCCTCTAGCACAAGCTACCTTCCTGAAATGCATGGATTTTCTAAGTGGCAGGAACACAGTCAGCTAGCTCAGAGCCCTGGAGAAGGAAATAATTTGCATAGCTTCTTCCCTCACATATTCCTGCTTTACGGAACAAAGTTGAATTGAGATTCCAGCAACTCCTCTAATAAGTGTTTTCCTCCCCACCCCACCCCTATAGTTTATCTTATCCAAATAAGAGGAAAGAAAGCTGGGCCCGGTGGTTCATACCTATAATCCTAGCATTTTGGGAGGCCAAAGTGGATCATGTGAGCTTAGGAGTTCAAGACTAGCCTGTGCAACAAAATGAAACCCCACCTCCACAAAAAAAATACGAGCTTGGGCAACATGGCGAAACCCCATCTCTACAAAAATTAAATAAATAAATTAAAACAATGTCACTGAAACCCAAGGAATAAATTCATAATCCGGCTACCAAATTATGACCAATTTATGATTGGGTACTACCTAAAGATCAAAAGGATATATATTAAGCAGTAGGAACAAATATAATGGAAATGTTTTTTAAAAAAGAGAAGCCAGGCCTGGCACAGTGGCTCACACTTGTAATGCCAGCACTTTGGAAGGCCGAGGCGGGCAGATCACCTGAGGTCCAGAGTTTGAGACCAGCCTGACCAACAAGGAGAAACCCCATCTCTACTAAAAATACAAAATTAGCCCGGCGTGGTGACACATGCCTGTAATCCTAGCTACTTGGAAGGCTGAGGCAGGAGAATCCCTTGAACCTGGGAGGCAGGGTTGTGGTGAGCCAAGATTGTGCCATTGCACTCCAGCCTGGGTAACAAGTGCAAAACTGTCTCAAAACAAAACAAAACAGGCCAAAGAGAACCACATGACATGAAAATAGAAATTTACATAGTTGTATAGTATAGAGAAAGGAAGAAGGAAATGTGGCATTTTCCTCCTCTGGTAGCAAAAAATGAAGAGTTAGGAATTAAATAGGAAAGAGAGTATAATAAAAGGCTACCTAGGTCAGATAGAAGTTTTTTTTTAACAAGATAAACATTGTTTTGTTAAATGCCAAAATTTTTATTTTTCATTTTAACCATTTCTTGAGGAAGCTATTATGTGTGCCTCATGTTTTTCTGCCCTAACAAATAATCATTGAGTGTAACTGTTTGAGTATCGTTCAAGTTCATCTTATCATTGTAGACTCTTCATTCTCATTTATGCCAGTGGAGGCTTAGGTGGCTTCACCTTAAGGTAATATGATTTGACCCTGGAGTAAACAAACTAGATGTGAAATGTAGGATCTAAAATAAGAAAGGTCTTAAAAATTAATGGCCTTTTAAAAATTGTACTTCTGAAATTTTGAGAGGGGCTCTGGAGACTATCATGTATTGACAGTGAGGCTGGGCCACTTCGCTGGCTGTGTGAGCTTGTGAAGGTAATTTTAATAAGCCAGAGCCTTAGTTTTTTTCATCTGTAAAATCATGATAATAATTAACGGCACAGAGTTGATATGAGAATTCAATGAGAAAATACACATTTAGCAGTTAATACAGAACCTGGAATATACTAAATGCTCAATAAATATTGGCTGCTATTACTAGTCAGTCAATTCCATGCTTCCAGTCTTGTGATTATAATTTTGCTTCTCATGTGGTTTGTCCACAAGACAAAACTATTGAGTCCCTTGCGTAGGTAAATATCTTGTTGTAATATAATACATTGACAGTGTTTTTATTTAGGATTTTATGGAATCCACGAATGATTGTCGTATAGTTTGGCAAGTGAGTAAATAACTTGGAAGTGACAGGAGTGGATCTTAGGTTGTCACATGTGCTCTCTCACTTTGATAGTATGTGCTAATATAAATGGACTATTCCATTAGTAATTTTGACTATATTTTAAGTTACATCAAAGAAAAGTTTGTTTCCCTCTCTAACAGTTAATATTAACTCAGAACATTGAGTTAGCTAATAAATATTGCATATATTGTTCTTAAATATTTACAGGAATTTTTGTATGCCATGAAATATGGTCTGTACATTTAATTTTATTTTTGTCTTGCAGGTGTAAAGGGTCAAGTTTTTGATCAGAATGGAAATCCATTATCCAATGTAATTGTGGAAGTCCAAGACAGAAAACATATCTGCCCCTATAGAACCAACAAATATGGAGAGTATTATCTCCTTCTCTTGCCTGGGTCCTATATAATAAATGTATGTATGGAAGGCTAGTTATTGTTACTAAAATTATAGAACTCATAATACTTACCCAGAAGAAATTGAGAAATAAATGTAAGAAGTTCAAAAGTAGATCCATCAAGACAGAAAGAAAGGACAGTGTCAGACTTGCAATTGGCAGGGGGTAGAAGGGATGGAAATTACAGAGAAAAAAAAAATTCCTATTTTTTCAGATGGCAATTATTTTTTTAAATAGAAGCCAAATCCTATTTCTTGTGATACCTTTTATGATTAAAATGTAACCTCATTTATAATTAGAACAAGCAATGTAGCAAAGGTAGTTTATACCTTCCTGGAATAACATATAACACTCATTCATGGAATATACTTTCTACTATAAAAAATGAATTGGGAAATGTTCCTTAGAATTTATTTTATAATTGAAATCTGATCCATAAATTTTATCACTATATTCAGCAAATGATAGACTTATTTTGCAGCCCTTTTTTCAATTGATGCAAGTAAAATTTCAGTTTTTAATTCCATAAAATAGATATTTCTGAGGGAGGCATGGACTAATTTGAGCCTGAGTAGATTTATGTGAAAGAACTAAATGAATAAGTATTGATTTAGTTGGCCAGATTTTGCCTCTTTCTCTTGATATGACTTTCTCTGAGAAATTCAAGATTCTTCTACGTTGCTTAGTGGGTCTCATGCCAACCATAGCAGTCATTCTATGTAGAGCTAATCCTGGGAGAAGGTAGTCATCTCTTCTGTAGTGAAAACTGAATGGGTATTTTATTATTTCATCTTGAGGACATCATGAAAAACAAGGTTTTTAGTTGATAAAACTGTAGAATTCAGAGCCTCCCTGCTCCATGGGCTCTCCCCAAGGTGCCTAGAAGTGGGACCTATCAATTGCAAATCTTTTAGGAATATCCACTCCTACAGAGAAAATGGATAGAGCTTGAAAAATCTCAACTCACTGTGGTGACTTTTTCTCTAGAGGGCCCTTTATTTTCCTCCATTTACTGTGATATTTCTATCTATTTTAAAAAATGGTTCTCCTTATAGTGAATCTAATTACTTGAATGCAATCTCATAAGTAAGCCACACCTTTAGAATAACATTGTGAATTGTTCATTTCACATTAGTTAGACTAACACAGTACACATTGACCGTAGATACTATTTCCAAGATAAGATTTGAAGGTAAGACTCTGGACGTTGAAATGAATGGGTAAAATACATACCAATGAGTGCTTATGTAAATGTCATTCTCCGTTTTTTCCCTTCTCCACCACATATAATAAAAGCATTTCTCAGTAGACATTGCCTGTATTTAGTTTAGCATTTCTCTTATTTGACTTGATCATTGTCTCCACTAAAAAACAAAAATAAAAACAACAAAAAAAAAACCTAACTGAAGATTCAAGCTCATATGAACAAAACCAGGTAAAATCAAAGCTTTTAAAGGAGACTGGATGTGGTAGCTCACACCTGTAATCCCATTACTTTGGGAGGCCAAATCAGGTGAATCATTTGAGGTCAGGAGTTCAAAACCAGTGTGACCAACGTTGTGAAACCCTGTTTCTACTAAAAATACAAAAAAATACCTGGGCATGGTGATGCATGCTTATAATCCCAGCTACTTGGGAGGCTGAGATATGAGAATCACTTGAATCTGGGAGGCGGAGGTTGCATTGAGCTAAGGTTATGCCACCATACTCCAGGTGGGTGACAGAGCGAGACTCCATCTCAAAAAAAAAAAAAAAAAAGAAAAAGAAAGAAAAGCATTTAAATGAAGCAATGGAAACTTGTAGGTCAACTGAAAAGAAATGACTAAGTTGAGAAAATAATTCTAATGATTCTACTTGCAAATAATCTTGATATCTAAGGAGGATGTTAAATACACACAGGAAAAAGGGAAACAGTTAACCCTCTACCTTTGTGCCCCATGAAAAGGATGGTGGCAGAATCATCTGCTGCTTCCTTCTCTTCACTTACATCCCCAGATAAGGTACCCGTCTGTCCTTATTTCATTTTGTAATTCTTGGCAACAGCATCCACAACGCTGGTCTCTGTCAACAGGCATTGGGTAACTTAGCCTGCAGGACCAAATCTGTTGCTGGCCCAGAGTCTTGCAGATTGTGTCATGCGTTGCACAAAGGCTGCATTTTAGTGGTGGAGATCAGTGTTTTCAGTGTGGGCACCACCAAACATCTTCAGTCACTCATATAATTGTCTCTTGTTTCTTCTCAGGTTACAGTCCCTGGACATGAGCCATACCTTACAAAGGTAATTATTCCAGAGAAATCCCAGAACTTCAGTGCTCTTAAAAAGGATATTCTGCTTCCATTTCGAGGGCAATTGGATTCTATCCCATCGTCAAATCCTTCATGCCCAATGATTCCTCTATACAGAAATTTGCCAAGCCACTCAGCTGCAACAAAGCCTAGTTTGTTCTTATTTTTAGTGACTCTTTTGCACATATTCTTCAAACAAAGTAAAATGTGAAACTCAAGCCACATCACCACCTGGAATCAGGGATTACTCACTCCAGGTTACTGCAACCCTAATGAGTCACTCTAGTGGGACCTTGACTCAAGAAACTCCACAATCTTCCTGAAGAAAAGTGGGTGTTTCCAAATTCTGCAATAAGCAATATGTGGTGATAATGAGAAGAATGCTTCAGTCTTGATGATGAATTGGAAGACACTTACCTAGCATGTACTTCTCATTTACACTCAAATTAATCTTGAAGTCGTCTTAAAATTTGTAAGAAGTTAAAGCTTGAGAAGCAAAAAAAAATGCCTTCCAAAGGAAGATAATTTTGTATCCAGAGAACCGGATAAATATAAGCAATAAAGATGAACATTTATTGATCTTCTACATACAAGACCTCACCATGAGGCCAGACATGGTGGCTCATGCCTTGTAATCCCAGCACTTTGGGAGGCCAAGGCGAGTGGCTCACCCACCAGCCTCAGGAATTCAAAACCAGCCTGGCCAACATGGTGAAACCCCGTCTCTACTAAAAGTTAGTGGAGCGTGGTAGCAGGTGCCTGTAATCCTAGCCACTCGGGAGGCTTAGGCAGGAGAATTGCTTGGACCTGGGAGGCAGGGGTTGCAGTAAGCCAAAATTGCACCACTGCACTCCAGCCTGGGCAACAGATTGAGACTCTGTCTAAAAAAAAAAAAAAAAAAAAAAAGACCTCACCATGAGTGCTGTATGTGAAGAGATAGTAAGTGCCATATATTTTTAGTTCTCAGAAAAGGAAGAAATTATAGGACTGAGAATTGTTTTGCAAATGTTCTAGGAGATGTGAGAGAAAATATGCAAGCATATTTGAGTGACCCAAGAAAATACAAGCCTGAAGGGAAAAGATTGTGTGGCTATAGAGCATCAAAGCACACAAGTCAATTAAGTAAGCCCCTCTCCCTCCAGAGCCATGTGTCCTTAGATTTTGGCACCTGGCGCCACAGTCATCTGTTAGGCTGATGACTCCAAGGGTATAACTCTAGCCTCTTGTCTGAGCTTCAGAGTCACATCCCACTGCCCACTGGACACATGCACCTGGATGTGACTCTCAGGTACCTCAAACCTATCATGCAGAGAGACTCATCCTATTCCCCTTAGAGCTGCTCTTCCTGCTGCATTGTGTCTCTCAGTTACTGGGACCACTAAGCTAGGAACCTTGGAGTCATCCCTGATACTTTCTCCTCCTCCTTAATCCCATGTATTCAGCAAGTAACTAAAGATTGGTGTTGGCTGGACGTGGTGGCTCATGCCTGTAATCCCAGCACTTTGGGAGGCCAAGGCAGGCAGATCACTTGAGGTCAGGAGCTCAAGACCAGCCTAGCCAACATGGTTAAACCCCATCTCTACTAAAAAAAAATACAAAAATTAGCCAGGCATGGTGGCACATGCCTGTAATCCCAGCTACTGGGGAGGCCAAGGCAGGAGAATTGCTTGAACCCAGGAGGCACAGGTTGCAGTGAGCCAAGATGGCGCCATTGCACTCCAGCCCGGGAGGAGAAGCGAGACTCCGTCTCAAAACAAAACAAAAAAAAAGATTCGTGTTAATGTTAAATATTGATGAATTCTGCTCTTCTTGGTTGTCAGCACTGCAAAGTCGAGACCTCATGCTTCACCTGCACTGCTGAAACAGCTCTTTTGGTCCCTTGCTCCCTTCAGTCCCTCCTCCACACAGCACTGGGGAAGGGGAGCCACTTGAAACCAAAGTCCACAGCTGCTCGAAGTTCATAAACACAGAGCTGCTTGTGTCCCTGTATCTGGAATGCCATTCTACCCACCACATTTTTCCTTTCCCACTCCTCTTAAAACTCAGTTCAGGTAGCAGCTCCACTAGGAAGCCTTGGCTGACCATAATCCTATTCAATTCCATTTCACCCTTTCCCAGGCAGTCTGGGGTTGGGGACCCCTCCTCTTTGCTCCCCAAAATAAACTGTGTATCTCTACTATTGGATTTACAACATTGTATTATAATCTTCTACTTCCGTGGGTGCCTTCTCTAGTAGAATGTGAGCTCTTTGAGGCCAAGGTCTACTAAATTTGTTGGAACAATTCATTTTTATATCCTCAAAGCCTAGCAGATAGTAGGTTAGGTACTGAATGAATGAATGAACAAACAAGGGGTTCCAGGAGCCTGTTACTCCCAGTCCTTCCCCGAAACTGCCTAGGGCTTTGTCATTTTATGAAGCTAGGTCTTATGCTTAGGCAATCTCCAGCTCACTTGGAACACTGACAGAAGAGTGTTTTCATGTCTGTAATCACGAAAATAATTCCAGATACATTCCTTTTACTGGACCTTGAATTGATCCTAATGTTGGTAGTAAAGGTATTTTGTTACCTGTTAACAGCACTGCAAACTACCTTTTTAAAATCAAATTAAATTTTACCATTAGGACTCAATTCGAAGTACTAATACTTCTCAAATTCTCTATGAGAGTTACTCTATCTTAAACCATTACCTGTAAGAATTAAAGGGTAAAGTACTAACCAGACAAGAAAGAAAACAATGGCAACTGGTGAGCAGATTCCTTCCTTCCTTCCTTCCTGAGACTCCTTCCTTCCTTCCTTCTTTCTCCTCTTGCTGCCTTCCTTTCTTCCTTCCTCCTTTCCCTCTCCTCTCCACTTTCCCCTGCCCCCTCCCTTTCCTCTTTTCTTTCTCTTTTTTTACTTAATCCCCAGTGTGATAGTAATACAGGCCGATTTCTAGAAGTGCGGTGTATTACGGAAAATGAGTTGCCTTGTTTCTTACTTTCAGTTGAAAGTTCTACAGGATCTAGAAATGAAACCATAATGGCATGGAGAGCGATGAGAACCACAGAGGAATGAAGAGCTCCTGGAACATTTAGGCCATTTTTATGCCAAGCTTATTCTACATCCACAAAATCGTACATGTCAATACAAACAAAATTTGGAGCAGGTGTCCCCAAACTACGGCCCGCAGGCCGCATGTGGCCCCCTGAGGCCATTTATCCACCCCCCCCACCACCCCGCTGCACTTCAGGAAGGGGCACCTCTTTCATTGGTGGTCAGTGAGAGGAGCACAGTATGTGGCGGCCCTCCAACGGTCTGAGGGACAGTGAACTGACCCCCTGTGTAAAAGTTTGGGGACGCCTGATTTGGAGGCTTCTTTAATCCACTTAGAAAATCTGGTAATTTGTGTGTCGGCAATAGATAACAAAAAAAATATTATAATCTGAATGTCTTGATGATTTAAATAAGCAGTAATTTATTATATCCTCGAAAGTACATATTAATATAGTATTGCAAAAATGACTTTGGTGTATTACAAATAAAAGTATATAAGACTAAACTTGATATGCCATCAAGCCCCAAACAATTTTTCAACTGGGCATTGAGTTCTAACTTTTCTAAGATAGCAGTTTTTGAAGGAACACGAACTAAACTCAGAATGAGTTCATGAGCCTTACGGTAAATCTCTTGCTGAAATAATCTTTTTAAAATCACATTTTGGTATCAGACTCAAAATCATTTAAAGACTGACAAAACACAATCATGGTATTCTGACTGACAGGTCAAACCAGGTACCCAAACCCCCTCCCTGTGCAACACCTTTCCTGCTCTTCCCCTCCCACACAGGCTGGTGGTTATGCTCCATGGCTCTAAGTTCAGCTAGAATTCCTTTTATAGAGAAACGAACATGATAAACCCATTCATGATGGGAGAAAAATGTGGGAGTAATTGATATTTAGAAAGCAGCAGTCAGGCGTGGTGGCTCATGCCTGTAATCCCAACTTGGGAGGCTGAGGCAGGCCGATCACTTGAGGTCAGGAGTTTGGCTTGGCCAACATGGTGAAACCCTGTCTCTACTTTAAAAAGTACAGATATTAGCCGATGTGGTGGCACATGCCTGTAGTCCCAGCTACTTGGGAGGTTGAGGCGGGAGAATCCCCTGAACCCAGGAGGCTAAGGTTGCAGTGAGCCGAGATTGCGTCACCTCACCACACTCCAGCCTGGGCGACAGAGCAAGACTCCCTCTCAAAAAATAAATAAATAGCCGGGCGCGGTGGCTCAAGCCTGTAATCCCAGCACTTTGGGAGGCCGAGGCGGGTGGATCACGAGGTCAAGAGATCGAGACCATCCTGATCAACATGGTGAAACCCCGTCTCTACTAAAAATACAAAAAATTAGCTGGGCATGGTGGCACATGCCTGTAATCCCAGCTACTCAGGAGGCTGAGACAGGAGAATTGCCTGAACCCAGGAAGCGGAGGTTGCGGTGAGCCGAGATCGCGCCATTGCACTCCAGCCTGGGTAACAAGAGCGAAACTCCCTCTCAAAATAAATAAATAAATAAATAAATAAATAAATAAATAAATAAATAAATAAAAATTAAAAATAAAAAAGGCAGAAGCCCTGGATTCGAATCCACCACACACTCAGTTTTCTTATCAGTAAAATGAAGATCTCCTGACTGAACAGTGATTCTGTGACTCTTAGAAACAGTGGTAAGAGATGCTACATTTTTGGTGCTTGTTCAGATGGAGAAAGGATAGTTAACACTCAGGTAGCAATTATTTTGAAGGCAGTATAATATATCTCCTTAAAAAGTATACCTACTCAAATATTGGTAAATGTTGACATGCCTGAACCTAAATGGCAAGGAGTATTTTAGAAAAACATTAAGTCCCTGCAGATAAATGACAAGTGTTGATTTGGGTGCTTAATGTATTACATTTAGACTTGAACTGTTGGATGTATCAGAAATGTTAAAAGGTTTTTCTCTACATTTCCAAAGTTTTTTCAAGATACCAATGTGATGTTTTGTTCCAGAGGCAAATTTGCATTTGTGATCTGCTTCTAAAAATGCTGTAAGTTACCTCTATGTTTAGAAAGTGAAAATATCTGATGCTAGATTGGAAGTATCTCTTCCTGGGGAATCCAGAAAGGTAAGAATAGCATATTGTCTTACTGCAACAGATAAGTTGCTTATTGAGAAGACTGTTTGTTATTCTATATGATAACAATACAGCTGGTGTATATTTTATGATAGATCCTGTTATTTTCCTCATAACTTTAGATGGGAAGGGGGGGAAAATTATGATATCTAGATTAATTAAAGAGCATTGGAAGTCCACAGTACTGTATCTAAAGTAGAAGTTTGGGTTGTAGACTTTATATCAACTAATGAGCAAATATTTGTATGATAAAATGGTAAGCATTGCTTACCATTTTATCATACTTTTTCACAGCCTTTTATAGATGTTTTATAGCTTATTTTACCAGTTTTCCTGGAAAATTCCTTTTTTTTCTTTTATTTATTTATTTTTCAGATGAGGTCTCACTCTGTCACCCAGCTTGGAGTGCAGTGGTGCGATCTTGGCTTACTGCAACCTCCACCTCCAGGGTTCAAGCCACTCTCCTGCCTCAGCCTTCTGAGTAGCTGGCACTACAGGTGCCTACCACCACACCTGGCTAATTTCTTATATTTTTAGTAGTGATGGGGTTTCATCCTGTTGACCAGGATGGTCTCGATCTCCTGCATGATTTACCGGCCTCAGCCTCCCAAAATGCTGGGATTACAGGCATGAGCCACCACACCTAGCCACTTTCTTTTATACCATAATTAAGAATTTATTAAAATGCTCAAATTGTCTAAGACTGTAAAGTTTATTGGGGAGAGGCCATGACTACCTCTGAATTTAGTAAATTTAAAATATTTCTGATTCTCAATAAATAACTAATATTCATATAAATAATGAATGCTTTTTTTCATTATGTAACCTGAAAATAAATACTTATGCAAATAGAACAAAGTCCACTAAAAAGAACTGATTACCACCAAATAAAACTTTGAGGAAGACAAAATGCAATGACCTTTTATGAGGCAATAATATTGTAACAACTCTTCAAAGTCCAGATCTTCCAGAACATGTTATATGTGCTATATGCTACGTATACTATATATAACATATTCCACGTTAATTGTGTTCGGGAGCAGTGTGTTCCATGGGCAGGATGATGGATGGAAAGTATGCTTTCTGGTCAGAAAAAAGACTTGAAAGTTTACAGTTTATATTAATGTAATAAAGATACTGAGAAATGCAGAAAAGATGTCCCAAACATGCTGAGCTATGGGATCATTTCCTTAAATAATTCAGCCTCATACCATCCCTTTGGACTAACATACCTGTATTTCTAAACACAGTTTAAGTAATGCTGATATCAGAGAAGTCTTTTGCTCTGAATAGCAAAGTTTATTGATTTCCAGGTGCTTTTGAAATACGAAGAACAGCTGTAAACAAAGAATTTGCCTCTAGTAGGAACTGTAAATCTCACAGTCCTGACCCTAAGCACTGCAAAGCCCTGCTAATATCAACTAAGTCATAGGACAGAGGATGGGCTCAAGTTTCCATCTGCTCTTTGAAACATGCTAAACAAATAGTAGTTTCAATGAGACATTGCTGAGTAGGTATCTCAATTTAGAAAATAAACTGGAAATAGTTTCTCTGTTTTCAAGAGAATTTATTATATTACATGGAAACCCCTTAAGCAGAAGTTCCCTGGTATACTTTAGCTAGACTTCAGTATTTGATTTTGCAGCATTTTGTTTGTTTGTTTGTTTTTTGTGATGGAGTCTCATTCTGTCGCCCAGGCTGGAGTGCAGTGGCGGGATCTTGGCTCACTGTAAACTCCCACTCCCAGGTTCAAGTAATTCTCATGCCTCAGCCTCTTGAGCAGCTGGAATTACAGGCACACACCATGACACCTGGCAAATTTTTGTATTTTTAGTAGAGACAGGGTTTCACCATGTTGCCCCAGTTGGTCTTGAACTCCTGGCCTCAAGTGATCCTCCCACCTCAGCCTCCCAAAGTGCTGGGATTACAGGCGTGAGTCACCACGCCCGGGCAAGATGTGCAGCTCTTTAAAGCATCCATTACAATCTCCCCTCCCACAAAAGTAAGGTAGAATTTTTAAATGAACTAA